AAGCCGCGATTATTTTAATCGCGGCTTCATTTCCCTCTGCCGATCTGGCTAATCTACATGCCTCCGTCGAAGGAGGCATGTAGTCTAGACACACCCAATGATGCAGATTGGTACCATTAAGGTAACCCTGTTGAAGTAATAAAAATTACAGAAATGTAAGGCTCCGGATTTGCACTTGTATAATTGACAGCTAAATTTTCCCATATACATGTAGGTTTGTTATGAGTGTTATTTGAGAATTTACAAGATTTATTATATTGAACAAACAAAATCTGATCTAGCTGGAGTCGATCCCTGCTCAGTTTAAAGTCAATGGATCAAATTAGTTGAGTAAAGTTTTCAGGATCAGGTCTAATAATTGCTTAATAATTAAGGAGTGTCTACTTAATACTTGTTTATTAATTGCTTAATAATTAATGGAGAAAAATCCTAGGGTAAAGGCAGTGTAATGAGGACCAGGAGATACGGATTCTTTTCCTGGATCTACAACAGACTTGATCTACAACCCTAAGCATATCTCAACAGTTGAGGTAGGTTAGTTCATTAATATTTGTATAGTGCTTTGAGATCCTTGCCTAGAAGGCATTGTAGATATGCACAGATGTCTTCTGAAGCATTATATCACACTGCTTGCAGCTTGATAAATTAGATGTTCAAAGATATTATTTTTTTAATCTCCAGAAGTATACTGTTACCTTCCTCTTTGTGGAACTGTCCCAGTGACCTCACAGTTTGTGCGGTCTTCAATTGAAAGCCATTTACCTAGTCCCTCTATCTCTGAAACAATAGCTGCACTGCAATGATCCACAGTGAATCGAACATCCTGCACCAAAACACAGAAGGATACTGTCATACCAAAAATAAAAAGAATTAGAGTCTGCTTTACTAAACTGCTTCAAATGTTGTATTGAAATTTTTAATCAATTCCCTTTCCCTTGCACTATGCAAATGGCAGGTCCAGGCAACTGGGCACTGGAAATTCACCCTACTGGTAGGTCACTAGACCATGCCAGGGGCCCATGTTAGCCCTGTCATTTGTGATTGAAAGAGACATTGTGAAGCAAGTCAATGTCTGGAACTGCAGGCCCTCTATTGAGCATTAGGCCAGCAAAATGGCAGGTAGATTACAACTGAGATTCAAGGCTGCAGCTGTGTGCCTGTGATGATATGGCTGATCAATTCACACTTTCTCTCACTTGACGATGGCCAAACTGAAACCACCAAATGTCCTGATTTTTCACCTTGGTGTACTGTAAACAGTGGTGGGGCTTGCACCAGATTAAATTTAAGAATTAGCATCCAGATGGAGCTGATTAGAGGGTGGAGATCATGAACAAGACTGGCTTTGTCAAAAGGGTTCTTGCAAGGCAAGTTTGGTGGGAAGTTGTGAAGCCAACCCTGTTTCCAGCCAGGAAATTGCTACCAAGCATTGTGGGTCAGGATGTGACCCTAAATATGATACTAATTGTTGGTGTCCTCAGAGGCCAGCACAGGGTGACTCAGGATTGCTTTTATAGTCCTTTTTCCAATAGAAAAAAGAGGAGACCTGAAGTCTTGGCTGACTGAATTCCTAGTAATAACATATAGGGGGAGATGAAGAGGATTTGGAAGTGAATTGAATCCTAGGGGAAGGCACAGGGAAGGGTCCATTCTAAATTATTGGTTTTATGGTCAGAGTCCTGACAACTCAGATAATCTCCTGGCATGAGAAAGCAGAGGTGGCCCACATAATACCCTCCTTCCCCCGAGTATTAAGTACATAAAGTTGTACCCTGTTGTTTAAAATCCTCCATGTCTTATGTTCATTTAGCTGCATATCATGATCAATATAGAGTTTTGCCATTTTCTGCACCATTTTCTATATTGCAACCAAAGGCAAGGGCAATATATAAAAAAGGGAAGAATAGACATGCACCTGTGCATTTAATTATAATAGTCATGCTCACAAAATGGACAATAGCATTTGTAAACAGATACTGTTGGCACATTTTCCCACACAACTGAGTTGAGAGTACCCAGATGTTAATTATTTATGAAAATTAAGGTCAAAATTGCATCTACAAATTGCATGTATTGGTCTGCCTAGTTTTTAAAAACTCTGACCCTAAACCCTGTAAATGTATAAGATCAGGAAATGTCTTACCAGATAATTTCCCTTCTGCTAGCAGAATCTCCCACAATTCTGATACATATGGGCTATTCTCTCCTATCTGCTCTTTCCGGAGGCAGTTCAAAATTGCTGCATTGCCCATGCTAGCCACTCTCCCTTCTCCAGCCTGTTGCCAGGTGATTCATTCCACAGCGGTGATTAGTAACAATAACATCAGTGGGAACAAGTAAATTATGTACCAGAGGGCACTACAGCCTATACGCATAGCTCTCAAAATTAAATACTATCCCTTGGCTAGGAAGCCAATCAGGGAGGGTAGAATTGTGTGAGATGCTGCTGGCAGAAAGGTAATTATCAGTTAAGAAATGTAACATTCTGCAGTTTTGTATCTCTCATAATTCTGATATGTATGGGATCCTTGGGGGAGGGTAGTAGTGTGTTTGACACAATGAGCTAAGCATAGGCCAGATGGAGTAGTTGGTCTTTGGTGTTGAACAGTGGCAAGTCATGACAGTTTTAGTAAGGCATGCAGCAATTCACTTACATGTGTTTATGTGGCTCAAATGGGCATCCTCCATGCAGCATGATTTCACTCACATGGTGGCATGTCAAGACATACTGTGTGGCATATCCTCCATGGGGCCAGATGGAATCATCTTGCCTGCTGGATCCAGCCCAATGACCTCCAGTTGGACAATGCACAGCCAGCTGGCAATGCAGGCCATGAAATACATGGCTTGATCTGCAGGCAGCTAGTTTAAGCTCACTGGAGGAGAACAGAGTTCCAATCCCTTTGGAAGATAGTCCTACTGCAGCTAATGCTTCCCACTCAAAAGCCAGGCTGTCAGTTGTAGACACTCTGGGTCTGGATGGAGGGCCCTGGTAAAGCATGTAGGCTCACTGGTAGCTGAAAGGTTGGTTCTAATTTCCGTCCTGTCAGATTTGGGGAATCAAAGTCTCTTTTGCCAGTGCGGAGCTAACATTTTCACTTTAGTTTCTCCAAGCTTTATTTTCTGGATCACTTCTCCTAGAAGTGGAAAGGGTGGGAGTGTGTATAGCAGGCCTCGTGACTACCTGTGCATCTATTCCCAGGGATTTGGGGCCTGCTTCTCTGGTGAAGTGCTGAGAAATCAGAGAGAAGACTCCTTGATTCAGATATCCTTCTTCTGAGTGGTTGACAGTGCATCTGCAAAACCAGTCTGCACTTTGGTTCATCTTTTCTTTGCTGTATTACTCTTACAGAAGAGAAGGTCCTCTCTGTCTATTAAGTTATCTCCATTGCTTCTGTGTGTAGGGTTCAACTCCTAAGTCCCCTGGCTTGTTGATATACACCATAGTTGCCATGTTGTCCAATTGGACCAGAACAAGTTTGCTGTCTAGGTATTTCTGGAACTTTGGTTGAGCTACTCTCTGAGCTCCAATAGGTTGATGTTATGGTTCCTCTCCTTAGGGTTCCAGGCACTTTGCTCTGTCCAATGCTCAGATTCCATCAGGCTGGCAGCGGGCTGTGAGTGCCTGTAGGTCTGGAATGCAGCTAGGTAGACACTTCAGGATACACTGTGGGATTGTCCACCACAGTAAAGAGATGAGTACCTAGTTCAGAAACAGTATGTGATCTTGCATGTGCTCTGGTGAGTGACTCCATACTTTCAGGGGAGAGGCCTGGAGGCACCAGATAATTTTGTTCCTGGGATGATTCCTACTCATAAAATCATGAGGCCAGATAACTGTAGACAACGAGCTGTCAGCCTTGCACTTTGCCAAGATGGATATCAGGTTCTGGATCTAGAGGAATCTGACCAGTGATGGAAATCGGCTATGCCACTTTTGCCATAGGGTCTATATCCACTCCTAGGTGAGCTGTCTATGTGGTGCAACAAAAAAAAGCTTTTTTTGGTGTGTATCACAAATCTATGTGCTTGAAGCAGACCCAGGACTTGGACTGTGGCATTGTGCATCACCACCTGGGTCATAGCTCTGATAATCTAAGAAAGATACAGGTAACTACTCTGAAACCTTACTGTGGCTATTTTGATCACTAGCATCTTATGAAGACACTAGGGGCTGATGAAAGCAATTCATCAATCTGGGGTAGTATAGCTATATGGGAATCATAGAAATCATAGGGTTGGAAGAGACCTCAGAAGATCATCAAGACCCCACTTACTCATTTGTTTGTGGTCGACTGAGTCTGTTCTTCTAAGAAAATGGAGCTATGCATCTGTTAAATTAAAGACGTGAGAAAATTCCATTGGAGCAGGCATGATATTATTAAAGCTAGGATCTCTATCTGAAATTTCATTTTCTTCCTCTAGTGTTCAGCTGCTTGAAATCCAGGACTGCTGTTATCCCCTACACACCTCCGGACAAAGAAGAAAATGGAACATAGTCTTAAGAATCTTTCTTCTGAGGGAACTCTTTCTAGTGTGTCCTGGATACATGAGATTCCATTTAACACCGACTACTGTTTGATGGAGGATTGAATGAAGGAAGGTTTTTTTTTTTTGGGCAGGAGCACTTAGTTTGAGGGAGTATTGGCAACTCACCATCTCTCTTACCCACTTGTTTGTGGTCGATTGAGTCTGTTTTTCTAAGAAGCGGGAAGTTCTGTCTCTTAGATTCAGGTCTCGGTGGAGGTACTTTTGTAGGCCTAAAGGGCTCTCAGATGAGATGAATACACCTCTGGATTTTCCACTCAACTCCTGGTTCCAGTATTTTCCCCAATATAGCTGATGTCTTTCTTCTGGTATATTCATGAGGATGATGGACAAAAAAGAAATTTTTGTCTATTTCTGGGTTTGTAGATCCTCCTCAGAGCAGAGAGGGGAGAGGAGAGACTGTTTCAATGTAGCAGTACTTCTTGCCATAATTTTGTCTGATTTTCCCCCAAAGAAGAGACAGCCTGTGAATTAAGATGAGCACTAAATGTGTTTAGATTGAGAATCACCCTTTGAAGCAGATGTGGTATCTCTGTGCTGGATGCCATGATCCTACCTAAAAATCTCAATGCATCCATTATGGACTGTGGATAGGGAAATTTCCTTACGTGTAGGATAGAAGTCAGGATGGTTTTGGTCCTTCATGGTTTTAAAATCATCCAAGCCAGGACATTGTGGCTCTTGCAAATCATGTAGCTACTATGGATACTTTAAGAGTGGCTGATGAAGCCTTAAAGTCCCTTCTCAGTGTGGCTTCCACTTTCCTATCAGATCTTTCGGAAAGAAATATCTCACCTTTTACTAGAGATGTCACTGCAGCATCAACTTTTGGTCATGGCATTTTTTTACTCTTGCAACTTCTAATATCTGAAAGTGCATCTGCTTGTGTGTTTATCCTTGTAAAGGGTTTCCCATTTCACTCTGCTCACTTCTTCAATGGATGGATGCAGCAGGATTGCTGTCTCAAGCAATGACTTAGCAAGATTTGTCTTTAGGCTTATCCTCTACTGCCTGCTCAAGCTGGATCTGGATTATGGATGCTACTTTTCTGCACATGGTTTCAAACATTTTTTGGGGGGGAGGGGAGCAACCTTCGCTGCATTTTTCCATATCCTGTTCCATTCCTGATTTGAAATCTGCCCTTCCTCTGTAGGAGTTGGTGTTAGAGTCAGACGTGTAGATTTTTTAGCCTTTGGGACCTATTTGCAGGTGTTATAATCCAAGGCAGTAAGAACTTGCCTTGAGCTCTCTGGATATGTCTTCCTCAGTGGGATCCCACTCCTCTTGTATAGAGAATGGGGTCCAATTGCCAGAATTCCCTGATTCAAGAGACCGAAGAAGAAAGCATTATGAGTGCTACTTCTTTCTCCAGGGAAGTTAGGACCTATTTTAGGACTTGAGGTCAAAACCTGCAACTCCTTAACAGCTCCCCTCCACCCGCATTCTTCTTCTGTCGCAGGTCTTATCCCTGGGGCTTATTGGATAGAATCCTCCTTTTTTTCCTTTTGAGTTTCTCCTTCTCTTCCTCTTCACCTCCAGATTGGGCTTTTCTGTATTGTAGTCTTCTCGAGCTGGGGGAACCCAACATGCCTGTCCAATTCAGAATCTTGTGACCTATCAGGGCAAGTGTTAGCTGGCGGAGAACAGGCAGAGCACAATTTGCCCTCCCAACGGCCTAGAAAAGCTGACTCACAAATAGGACACCACTTTGATTTAGCTCACAGTTTGCACAAGAGTTGTGCCATGCCTTGGGGGAGGAGAGGAAGCAGAAGAGGTGCCAGGTACTTGAAGCCAACCCGCTGCTCAATACCTCATCCAGAAGAGAGGAAGCATGCTTGCCACTTCCCCCCTCCAAAAACCTACATAAAATACAGGTGAACTGTTACTTGACAGATCTGCTAGCACCATGGAGCTGGAGAAGGAAAAGTGGCTAACACGGGCTATGCCACAGTTTTGAACTGCTTCTGGAAACTGCAGACAGGAGGAAAATAGCCCATGCTAGGGTTTCTCAAACTTCGTTGAATTGTGAGCCCTACTGACAACAAAGTTACTGCTCCCTGCCCGAGGGTGGGGCACAGAGCCCAAGCCCTGCAGCCCCAGGTAGGGGGGGTGAGGCCACAAGTCAAGTCCCGCTGCCTCAGGTGAAGGGAGAGGGGGCTGCAGACTGAGCCCTATCACTCCAGGTTGGGGTGAAGCTCAGGATTCAGCTTCAGCAGCTGGTCCCAATTAAAGGTCTAATGCTGGCTAATGCAACCCCATTAAAATTGGTTCGCATCACACAGTTTGGGAACCATTGGCCCATATGTAACAGAACTGCAGGAGATGCTGAACTTCAGAAAGACAGATTGTGAAAATCACAGCTCTATCCCCTCAGTATTCACATTGTGCATCTGGTCTACAGGCACGTATGGAATGAAACACACAATTTTCCAGTCTCTCTTTTATACCTTTCTAATTTTGTGTATGCAAGAGCTACATGGGAGAAACAAAACTGCAAAGTAGAAAACAACTGACCTGACCCTTAGTTCTGACTTCAAGCCGATGCCATCTTTTGTCAGTCAAATTCAGGTGATTTGGGAAATGCAGCGTCTCAGTGCCTGCACCATGGTTCATTTTCAACACAGGAATGCCATGGGAAAGTTCTAAAAGGCCAACAAGAAAAACTGAAAAGTTACATTTTTTTAAAATGTAGCAGCAAATATATTTTTCCACTTTTACTACTTTGGTATATGTAGTGACTTGATTAGTTTAACAATAATTGTCAACCACAAGTTACTGGGCTCAGCAGCCAGTATTATGCAGGAGATGTTATTTCCAGTTGGCCTTGTTATTTGTAATTGTTTTAATGAGTATGCTAACTCTTTGTTAATTAATTGTATGTGGAAAATACGCTGCACTAAACATTTTTTCATGAACAGGCTCCTAAGCTAAACATTGAAATGTATTCCTTACTAAGGCACGAATACCATATTATGTTCTAAAGTAAAAAATAATACTAATTATATGCATGCACATAGGATTTGCTATGTATTAAATCCTGTCCAAATTCGTAAGTTAAACCACAAAGTAAAAATCAGGTCATTTATAATTATTTCCGATAGATTTATATCTCAATATTTAGTGCAATTTAAAATATACACAATTATGCTTACATCTTCTTACAGTAACTCATTGAAAATAATTGAGCAGCAATTAAAAAAAACTATCAGATGTATAGATAACTTTAAGCCACTGCATATACATCTGTGATGGTGTTTTAAGACTGGATTCATCTATCAAGTCACAGTCTGTTAAAGAAAACATGTTTCAAAAATGCCTTGAGACTAAAAGAATTTTAAGAAGTAGATTTCTGTCTTTCCCAACCATATAAAATGACATGCAACTAAGAATGCATTAATCATGTAATACCTGTCTCAAAAGTACCTGAACTCCTTTAAAGCACTAGATGCTTTCTGGTGGGATTTTTTTAAATAAATCTGTCTATTCTGTTTCACTTTGATTTCTTTAGCTCTAGGATCAGCTAAGAACTATTCGCGTAAACTACAAAAATAACCACAATGTCAAAGAAAAATGAATATACTGAATATACTGCTAAAGTATATTTCAGGAGACTTTTTTTCCTAATTTTTCTAGAGTCTGAAGTAAGAATTTACACCATAATTACTATATTATCCATGGAACATCAATTCCTAGAAAATCCTTACTTCAAGGTCCTACAAAGCATTTTGTTATGTGTACTGGACAGAGTATAAGTACCTATTGCCATGAAATTCTCTGTACTCCCAGGCTCTGGATCTGATAAAGGACCATTGTATAGTAAAAGACCATCTGGAAACTCAGTAATAAACTCAAGGGATAGTAAGCTCTCAAAACAAGGCCTGATGGGACGAAACCATGCATATCCATTTCCATGGAAACTGTGTTTAGTCTGCTGGCAGTCAGGTCCATGAAATGAAGTAGAACAACGACATCTGAAAGAACAAATCAGAAGAAGAATAAAGCAAAATAAATAAACTAATAGATAAAAATACTATAATCAAAATACTCATTTTCAGTTAATCTACCAACCTGGGCTGGGTGTGAATCAGTGATCTAAAAGTTAAAAGGTCTGTGTCCAATAGCCAATATTCTCAGTCATCCTGATACTTTTTGAAAAGCTTTTCAGAGTAAACATTTCCTACTGTTAACATAGTGATCTTACCCACAGAAAAAATTCTATAAAAATGGTATGGAAATTCTAAAAGATTTGGGGATTAAATCTTGGAAAATATGAAAGGAACTCTAAAAAGTGATTGAGCTGTGGCATCTGAAATCATCATAAAATCACTGACAAGATTATCCCAAATTTTGAAGAACAGCAGAAAGAGATGATTTAATACCCCAAGCATGTTTTCATTGATTTCCATTTAAGGGTATGTCTAATCTGCATTCCTTTTTTGAGAGAGGAATGTAAATGAAGACAAACGAAATTGCAAATGAAGCGCGAATTTGAATTTCCCATGCGCCATTTGCATAATCACGTCCAGCCTCATTTTCGAAATACTCTATTTCGAAAAAAGAAACGCTGTCTAGATGCGGTTATTTTGAAAGAAAACCCTTCTTTTGAAATAACCCTTACTACTTATAAAATGAGGTTTAAGGGTTATTTGAAAGAAGGGTTTATTTTCGAAATAACCGCATCTAGACAGCGTTTCTTTTTTCGAAATAGGGTATTTCGAAAAAGTGGCCAGATGTGATTACGCAAATGAAGCATGAAAAATTCAAATACGCGCTTCATTTGCAATTTTGTTCGTCTGCATTTGCATTCCTCTCTTGAAAGAGGAATGCAGTGTAGACATACCCTAAGGCCTTATTTGACAGTGCTTACTCAAACATTACTTTCAATGACTCCAGGATTGCAGGATCAAGACCAGACCTTTAATAAGGAACTGTTGTTATTACTCAGTTTACAGTCTTCTGAAGATGTATCACTTTTCTGGATTTTCCTCACTCTGAACTGCAGTTTAATACAGATCCGAAGATGAAGTCTTCACTTTTGTAGTCCTGTGTCTTGTTAATTACATTTGACATTAAAAAAAAAGAAGAAGAAGAAAGAAGCAGTAGAGACAGTCAGAAAAGCTGCCATACAAGTTTCCTCACCTGTAACCATTAAGAGTGTCGATACATGTCCCACCATTGAGACAAGGGTTGCGGGGGTAGGAGGCACAAGACTGATGAACTCGGTCTCTCGCTGAACAGGTGCAGACTGCGCTGATGGTGATTGCTACTGAGACAAATGACACATTCCCAGCATCCACCACTGTTGGGATGTCACTCACTGTGAAGTAGTTTGTACACCCACTGCCACCATGACAGTCTATTCTCCCACATACATCTGCGTCAATTTGTGAAATGTTCACTTTCAAAACTGATTGGATCTAAGAGGAAACATAGTTTAACAAATCACCAGTCTGTTCCTAATGGAATGTTTTCATTTGTTTCTTTAAGTTCTGAAAATCTGTGCAATCATACACTTCATGGAATACTTTACTTATATGAAAACTGGTTATTAACAGCCTGGACTTTGTGAATGACTTAAAGGAAATTATATTATGTATTCACTGTGTGTGAAAGTTTACAGTAGTAGTGTTTCCTGGAAATCAATTATTGGTATCCCTGATAGCCATCTTAGCAGTAGAACCTTGAAAATCTGCAGATATCTATTTTCTATCCACAGACATGGATCTGTGGCTCATTTTGTGGATATGGATGAGGATACAAATTTTGTATCTAGAATATTTTGCAGATGCAGACACCAATTTTGTATTCACGCAAGGAACCCTTCTTTCCAACCTTGCATGTCCACAAAGGGCTAGGCATAATCTGGTCACAACTACCAAGAAAATTCCAAGATAACTTTTCTACTCACCCATATGCTGTAAATCATAAGTTTACTCCCCAGGAGGAGTACGTCCTGACCAGGGCATATACACAATCGCAATGCATTCAGGATTTCTGAGTACCCCAGTGCAGTAGAGGACATACCTTGCTACATTTGCCATTGGCACATTTTTGGACATGTATGTCTAGTTGTGTGCAGACTCACTGACACACCTCCACCAAATCTGCATTTACATCCTACTATCTCTTCAAAAAGTGAGTGATATTCATGGTGTGCGGAGTATTGTGGGAACACTCTGGACATGACCTCATTTGTCATTTATTTATTGTTTGGATTACATAACTTCATAGAGCTACTCCTGATTTGCACTGCTGCAAGAGTAGAATGAAGCCCTTAGGGTACGTCTAAACTGCATGGCTCTGTTGACAGAGCCATGTAGATTAGTTTACATGAAAAAGGGAATTGAAGCGGCGATTATTTAAATCACTGCTTCATTTCCCTTTGCCGGCCTGACTAATCTACATGGCTCCATCAACGGAGCCATGTAGTTTAGACATACCCTAAATGTCAAGGGTTTGACATTATGGTCCAAATCCCGAAGCTTTTCATGATCTTATGAAAAGTCAAAACCTCTCATTCAGTATCAAAAGGCTTCCCTCCTAGGGTATGTCTACACTACCACCCTAGTTCAAACTAGGGTGGTAATGTTGGCAACTGGAGTTGCAAATGAAGCCACGCAGCTACACGTGGCACGGACTAGGTAGTTCGGACTAGGCTTCCTAGTTTCACAAGGAGTAACGATAGTTCGGACTAGGAAGCCTAGTCCGAACTACTTAGTCCGTGCCACGTGTAGCCGCGCGGCACGGAGTCCGCACTAGCGGACATTTAAAAATAGCGGCGCCCGGCTTTATGCAAATGAAGCCCGGGAAATTCAAATCCTGGGCTTCATTTGCAACTCCGGTTGCCTACATTACCACACTAGTTCGAAGTAGGGTGGTAGTGTAGACATACCCCTAGAAAGGCATCACAAAGAGGCCAAAACTGGGGTTGGCACCCTCTTGTATCAGACACCACACAACTCAGGCTGTGACCTAAGGAGCTTACAGTCTAAATTGACAAGACAGGCAAAGGGTTGGTGATAAACAGAACTACAAAGAAGTACGGAGACTTGCCTGAGGTCACACAGCTGGTAATGACAGAGCTGAAAATAACTCGGCTCTCCTGCCTCTCATTCAGCGCACTATGCACCAGATCATGTTGTCTCCCAATCAATCAATCTGTCTAAATAATTGTTATTTATTTGTATTATTGTAGCACCAAGAGCCCCAGTCATGGACAGGCCCTTATTGTGATAAGCACAGTACAAAAAAACCAACCTCTATACCCAAGAGCTTACAATGCAAGATAAGAGACAACAGATGGATACAACTAGATGAGGAAGCACAAAGAAACAAAAAGACAACATGGTTAACAAAGGAGAGTTGTAAAAAGGATTCTGAAGGACAATAATAAGTTAGTTTTATGAATATTTACAGGAAGTTTGTGCCAGATGCAAGGGGCAGCATGGCAAAAAACACAAAAGTGTCTGAAACTTTAATTCCACAGACTGACCAAAGGCAACATTTTGGTTCTCAGCCAGAGGTTTTGACGTTTTCACAGGTGCATGGAAAGCTTCAAGACTTGGACTACGGTGTCAGAATCTCAACACTAAAGGCCTTGTTCTACCCTCCCTGTGGTGCAAATCAGGAGTAACTCCATGAAGTTAACAGAGTTCACGGATGTAAAACTAGTGTGAGCTCAGACTGAGGGCCTAGTAATTTTATATGTTTAATAAACTGTTACTTTTAGTGGTACAATATATGAAAACAAGTTTTAAAAATAAATTCTAATGTCCAAAAACTGATTTAAAAACCTTCCCTTCTTTTCTTCTCTTTCCATTTCACTGGTACCTTCATTTCAATCCACCATTCTTTTAAGAATGTTGACCCCTATGACTAATCTTAAGTACATTCTCATAAATATCATGAGACATATTGAAAGAGGTAGCAATATACCACCCGGTGACATGATGTATCCTGTTAATGCAGTCATGGGGTAGGCTATCTCTCTAGATTGCTGTTAGTGATAATTCTGTATTAAAAAGATGTAGACAGTTTTGCAATATTTGTTACAGAAGAGCCTGGTGCATACAGGGAGTCATGGTTCCTTTAAACTACTAGATGGATATCTTTTGTTGTACAGTAAGAACAATTATCACAAAGCCATTTCCAAAGGAGTGTAACAAATAATATACACTTCATCATTTATTTATTTATTTAAAATGTTAATGAATAATTCTAGCACTAATTACCCATTTTCTATGTTTATAGTTAACTGAAACATATCTACAAAAGATAATGGAGGAATTCTATATTTATGTTTTGTTTCTGTAAGTATAGAAAATTGGTGATTACTCATCAGAGCTATTCATTAAATTCCGAAAGGTGATAAATAATTAATAGAAATGCCATTTCCTCAGTAAAATATGTGAAGCAAAAATTACCCTCTTGTTATCACTATGATGAATCATCCCACTATGTATTATGAAGCAGAGTCTATTTGAAATCAATGTAACTTTCCATATTATCATTGTAATTGCTCTATAAATATGCAAGAGAAGCAGCAGTTATTTTGCATGAATAGTATCTGCCTCTCTGATTCTGTGACCTTGGCCATTTGGAGGATTTTAATACTCTATATTATTGTTTAACAGACAATAAAATTACATACTTTACAGTCTGATAAAAGTTGGGCAGATGGCGACTTTTGATTACTGCTCCTGACTAAGAATGACACACAACCTTTTATCATTGATACGCCCTCGTGTCTCCATCTCCCCTCCACTCCACATTTGTCTCCTTTCTTTCTTGTGTCTTGTCTCTTACATGATATACTCCTTGTGGCAGAAGCTGTTATTTACTATGCGCTTGTTCAATAGTTGGCACACTTGGGCTTCATAAATACCCAGGCCAGAAGGGACAGGTGTGATCACCTAGTTTGACCCTACCCTGTAAACTTACCTCCATGGAACTTACTTCTTCAAAATAATTCCTAGAGCAGATCTCTTAGAAAAAACACTGTCTTCATTTTAAAATTGCCAGTGAGGGAGAATCCACCATGTCCCCTTGTAAATAGTTACAATAGTTAATTACCCTCATTGTAAAAATGTATGTCTTATTTCCAGTCTCAATGTATCTAGCTTCAACTTCCGGCCTTTGTATTGTATTAGACCTTTCTCTGCTAGACTGAAGAGCCCATGATCAAATATTTGTTCCCCATGTAGATATTTATGATTGTGATAAAGTCATCGCTTAACCTTTTCTTTGTTAAGCTAAATAAGTCTGAACTCTTTGAATCTCTCTCTATAAAGCAGGTTTCTTATTGTTTATCATTCTTACAGTTCTGCTGTGGACCCTTTCCAATTTAGCATTATCCTTTTGAAACTGTGAACACCAAAACTGAAAAAAAAAAGATTTCAGCAGTGGTGCAAAATACAAAGATAAAATAACTCTATGCACCCAACAATTGCATTAGCTCTTTTGGCCACAGAATCGCATTGTAATCAAAATGTCAAGGGGAACCAAGTCATGCTTTATGAAAGCCTAAGCATATCACATCAAAAATAATCATCAACTAAACTTGTAGTCTCACAAACTTATCAAATTAGCTAGAGAGAATTTATTTTCCACAAACCCATCTTGATTGGCATAATTTTTAATCTTTCTTTTAATTCTTGATTAATTAAGTCCCGTATCAGTTGCTACATTATTTTCCCTGGGATTGATGTCAGACTGACAGCGCTATAACTGCATGGATCATCCCATTTACCCATTTTAAATAATGTAATAATAAAGTTTTTATATGCACACACAAAAAATCACACAAAGTTGACCAAAAAGCTATGATTCAGAAGAGGGGATTGTCCTCTCTTAATTCAAAATGGTCAAACATATTGAAATGGAACACTGTAAAAGGGATTAATGAAAGGAAGAAAATTAGTGTCAAAACTATGACAAAAATGTGTATAACAAAATTTCAAGTGAAGAAAAAAGTAATTCACTAGGCCTGGTACACTCTTCTAAATTGTGGTTGAGTCTGCATAAATGATGCTAAGATAGTTAGTTTATATTTATTCAAACCTCCCTAATATTGAGTTCACTGAATTAAAACTGGGGCACATACCTTGTTTTTAAATGCTGCCATTTCACCATGCAATTTCTCAGGTCTGTAATATGAAGAGTCACCACGAACTGCAAACCTTAAGCTTGTTTGTCTTCCATCAACATTCATCATACTGAAAATAGTGATATCACTAGGATGAGCTGAGAAGATTTCTGCCAGTAAGTCCTTAAATTTGTCATGTCTGCTTTTCCCATGTTCGTCTTTCCTTATAAACTCCTCCGCTGTGACATCTGAGTTGGAGATTTATAAGTACAGTATACCAAAATTAAATGCCTGCAGAGCTCTGGTATCTCTCTCAACTCCCCCCAGCCCACATGTACTAGTAACACATTGCAAGTGCATCAGTCTACGAACACATTTGCAAATTCATCAGAAATGGAGCTCAAACAACAAACAAAACTGACCTGCCAGACAAATAGTGGCTGAACTACGTATGGCTTCTTTTTCCAGTTCTTTGACATGGATCTGTACTGTAGATATTACATCAGGCCAGACTCCATCTGACACTCTGACTCTTAAGTTGTATGTCCCCTCAGGAGCATTATCCACCATTACCAGAGAGCCAGTCCTTTGATTTAATCTGAAATACCTAGAAGTAAAGTCCCAAATGATGAAAAGCCTAATTAGTCAAACCAGAAACATCCTGTACTAATCACTGAATTGGTCTTTTTCAGAATACATGTTCTACCATATGAGGGCCTGGCTGAATAACACAATATGTGGCCTCTGAGTATACAGAAGCCTTCGAAAGTTATTATGGAGCATCCATGGTCAACCGACCTATCTGATGGGTACCAGAGATCAATCTCACTAAAAAAGAAAAAAGCTTTGTACTGGGAAATTATGGAGAAGCTTATGTTTATGAACAGGAATTGCTTTTCTGCGATTCCCAGATCCACGGGCTTCCCATGCTTAACTCACAGCATGAAGTCTACAAGAATTAGTACATGGGAATACCCATGGCACAGGTCCAAGGAATGAGTAGGGAGAAGTGACAAGAGGAGGGAGGAAACTGTCTTGTCCTATACAGGTTCCTGTCAAAGAGAGGTTCCAAAGGAGATCTCTTGCATCATGCCCATGAGGCAGGATGAAGGGGGCAGTTTTGAGCAGCAATGGAGGTGTACTACGGCCAGGTCACTACTACGGAATAGTACCCTCCAATAGCTCAGTATCCTCAATGGCTGCTGATAGGCAGAAGATCCAGTTGCAACCCTGGGCTTGCTAAGGCTTTAACATCTTCATTTTCTAGAGAAAAGAAAGCGTATTTGTCTCCATTTCGGGAAACAAACACAAAGCCACTTCAGAACTCTATTCCTGCTCATTTCACCCCATGTTTTGTGATGTGGGCAGATGAATTAGTATGGGGCCTAGTTCAACACTAGCATGAACAGACACAATAGCTTATGTAGTGGTGAATTTATCTTTAGGAGGAGATTGAAATTCATTTTTACTTCTGATATTTTGAATTATTCTACTCTATGCTCACATTAGCTGTGTTTTTTTTGTGATCAAATACAAATAAACTGTAACATTTGGGGGGCCAGCAATAAAACCAGAACCTTTTTTTATTTGGGTCTAAAACAAAGTACATCCTTAATGCCTAGGAAAATTAATGGAGAGCTCTACTTAAAATCAATGAAATGACGTAGCCCTACATTATTTGACATGAAAAAAGCTACTGTGCACACCAATTTCTTGAAATCTAGTTATATAAGAGACAAAGAATTTTCAGGAGGTACATTCCTTGTTGCATGGGATAATCCTGGCTTTTACGCACATAACACACACAGGGAAATCTCATGGTGAGTAAATAATTACAGAAGCATAAACATTATATATTACTCAGCTTGGCACAATCATAATCCTCACTTGAGCATCTTTCCTTCAGAGAGAAATGTTTTATTGTCCCAGTCATCCTGATCTGGTGCAAACACTTCCCCAAGCATGGTTGTTGACCATTTCCCTGATGAGATAAATTATAATAAATATGCATTTAATTTTTGTTTTTCAAAGGCTTTTTAATTCAACTGCATTCATTACTACATTTATTATTTTCATATTCCTGTTTGATGTTGTTATGGTGAAAGATGTGATCCACAGCACTTGAAAAGCCTATAGTCTGAGCTCGCCTACACATGTGCCTAGAAAGCTGGGCATAGATCACAGACACTACATGAAGGAGGAAAACCCCCACAAATAATCAGGAAAAATAAATGAGATTATAAAACTATACAGACTGATTTTTCGGAGACAAAAAGTTATTAAACCAGAAGCTGAAGACCCAGTCTAGGGAAACCACTTTACACTGTATCATCAGCAAAATCTGCATATTATAAAGCCATGACAGTCACCCTCATAAGGAGCATTCTGTACCATGAGAGAATCAGAATAGCAGCTCTCTCTGAGCAAAGAAAAAAGCATGATTGGAGAAAAGGGAGCATTGGCAGAATACTTCTATGTCATCCCCATTTATGGCTATGTTTTCAGCCCCTCTTTAGCTCTTGTGGTCTCATGCAAAGTCAAACAGTTGCTCAGACACAGCCTACAGAGAGCAGCAGTGCAATCAGGAGAGTAGAGAGTGAGCTTTGCACATGGTACTCTATGCAGATTAGTTATAGCCGTGATCTGGTAAAAGGGTGAGTGCTTGGTTAATGTGGTGATGAGCCCAGTATAAGAACCTATACAAAACAGAACAGAAACTGAACAGATTTTTTTAAAATTCAGAGCTTCAGAGTCTACCCTGAAAAGCCCCACTTCACCCTGTCCTGCTCTCCTGTAGAACTTGCTTACTCTGAGTTTTGGTTTAAGTGCACCTAGTTCAACAAAATTAGGTGCACACTTAATTAAATGCAAAATGGTTTTCTTTACATATTGGACTTCTTGCTACAAATGTTTCTCAGGCATGCTGGCACTGTAACTCTGACCTAGATATTCAGTTAAATTGTGCCTTTGATTCAAATACTTTTTGGGACAGTGATGCATCCTGCACAACAAAAGCAATTAATTATGGACACAAAGATACCCTGGGATCTTCACTTCTTTATTTTATGGGATTTATCTATTTTCTGTTCTTCATTCTATTAAAACCAAAGCAACAAAAATATGCTTGTATATTAAAAACATATTTTTACGACATAACAACAAGGAAAATGCTGAAATACACAGAAATAGGTATAATTACTTCCCAGTGTTTTCATTATAAAACCCTCTTTTCAGTCATTTGTTAAAAATCCCCTGGTTTTTTTCAGGCTTAGTCTCCACCCAAAGAAACTCCCCCTTCCCCACCCCCCCATGAGTAAAAGCACTTTTCTGTTCAGTTATATAAAACTATATAATATTGTTTTGTATAAACAAATGCATACTCATTTAAAAAACAAAGAACAGATCTTTACAAATACATTTATATCTTCCAGGATGGGTAGGAATTGTGTTCCTAGCCTCTGTTTGTCAGAGGCTGGAAATGGATGACAGAGGGATCACTTGATGATTTATTTCCTCTGGGGCATCTGGCATTCATCACTGTTGGAAGACAGGATACTGGGCTAGGTGAACCTTTGGTCTGACCCAGTATGGCCATTTTTACATTTTTATGTTCCATAGTAAATAATGCTTTCCCCATTATGACTGAGACCTTGCATACAGATGTGGCAGCAGGGGCCCACACAGCCATGCAAAATCCTACTGACTCTATACATATGTTTGCAAAATTGGATGCTTAATCTATAAATATACAAAGCATAAAAGATTTAATAACAAGAACAACTTAAAGAAAGTATTAATAGCAATTAAAAATTTAACTTTTCTATGTGTCTGGCTTACTCTCTGTATACCACCTACCTTTGTGGGTATAGACAAAGATTTCCTTATGGCCAGCTTCATGGCAGTTATCATTTTCATCACCAATTGTTATAGTTAAGGTGTTTGTAGCACTCATGGATGGAGTCCCACTATCTGTTATAATTATTGGCACATGGAACATCTTCTGCTCTTCTCTGTCAAAGGATCTTAGCGCTGTAATAGTTGCTGTGTTATTTCTATTGTCAGAAAGAGAAAAATCCAAAGAATTCTGATAACTAGGTGGCAACAAAAATGTAAATGGTGGCCCATTTTCATCACTGTCTGGATCCACGACATACAGAAGTTTGGATGTATGGTTCATATACACCACCTGAGGTCCTAACCCATTTTCCCAAACCACAGGCATATACGATGCCTCAAACCTTGGCTCATTGTCATTAATATCTAGCAAGTTAATCAGGACTGTAACACTTCCAGTTTGGGCAGGAGTCCCTTGATCTGAAGCCTGTATGATTAAATTGTATTGCTGAATGACTTCACGATCCAGTGTACTTGCAACAGTCACATGACCATCTGGGTCAACTGCAAATTGTCTGATAGGATCTGAATCTGATTTAATAAAATAGATAATGTCCCCATTTAAACCAGAATCCTCATCAGTGGCTCTGACTGTGGTGATGGTAGTACCAACAGGTATGTTCTCAAAGAAAGGGTTAGTTTGGATAAACTGAGAATTAAAAACTGGACTGTGGTCATTACAATCTTCAACTTCAATCAAGCAAGTTGCAACACTGGAAAAATCAAGATCTTCCACTTTAATCGTGAGGTTAAACCACCTTTCATGAGGTTTCTCATAATCCAGTTTCTTTTTCAATCTGATAGTTGCACATTGACCTTCTTCATTACTTTCAATGTAAAACTTCTGATCTGGATCTCCCCCAATAATACTGAATGTTAAGTGAGCATTTTCCCCATTGTCTGCATCTGTAGCCGACACTTCCAGAACATCTGAGTTGATTGCACTGTCTTCAGGAATCACTGCCTGCCAGACTTCCTGCGTGAATTCAGGTATATGATCATTGACATCTGCAATCCAGATAGTGGCAGTACCAGTTCCTATCAGTCCTCCACCATCTCTTGCCTCAACAGTAAGGAAATATTTATCAGTCTTCTCTCTATCCAACACTCCCCCTGCGACATGTATTGTGCCAGTATTGGGGCGGATATTAAAGAAGTCTGTTTCAAACCCAGTTTTTACATTGTCAATTATCCTGTATGTCAAAATTGCATTAAGACCTACATTTTGATCATCTAAATCCAGAGCTGTCATTTCCATGACCAAAGTGTCCGCAGGAGAATTTTCAAAGACACTCCCAGTGCAGTCATCAGGCATGCAGGTAAACATGGGGGCATTGTCATTTATATCCCATACATTAATAATTACATCAGCAAATCCAGTAAGTCCTTCTCCTCCCTCATCAGTGGCCAACACAACAAATCTCCAAAGTGCTCGCTCTTCCCGATCAAGCATCTTCTGTGAGTAAATGCTGCCTGTGTTCTCATCTATTGTGAAGACATCAGTTGCACCATGTCCATGAAGAGAATATCTCAAATTGCCTTCATCCATGCTGCTATCAGGATCCTTTGCTGCAACCTAGAAATGTTTTGCACATAATTTATGTTAATGACAGAATATTCAGTTCCTGAATTATATCCTATTTGCTACCACGTCCTATCATAGATGGACAGACATAATTCCCATTAGAACAATAAAATTATCTATGTTTTCTTCTTTATTTGTATAGCAATAATTGAGCTACAGAATATAAAAAATATGGTAGATTACAATGCTAATTATATGGCAAATGCTATATACTTAGGTCTACAAAAGATCAGCCCTGCTTATTCAATATTAGAGTCACAGTCATTTTCTTTTTTAAAAAATTGCATGCTTCTCTCTCCACTGAGAAAATAAATTTTCTTCACAAAACTGGATTTCACATATTACAATAACAAAACTGGAATAACCCATATTCTTCTATTGAAAGATCACTAACATCTGGAACTCCATAGTACCTGAAGTACAAAGATGGGTAGCACATCCAGTTCTTCAATCACACTTCCATAGTATTCATTGATAGAGAAAACAGGAGCCTCATCATTTTTATTCACAACATTGATTATGATAATTGCATAATCTTCCCATTTACCATCAGAGGCCAACAAGTGAAGTTCATACATTTTCACTTCTTCATAATCCAGTGGCTGAGCAATAAAGATGGCTCCTGTTTCTGGTTCTACATCAAGTACTCCACCAGTATTTCCAGCTGTGATCTGGTACCTTAATTTAGCATTTGCTCCTGCCAATGCCCAAAGAATAATCAATAAGATAGGTGTCATTTGAGTGCATTGAAATAGGTTTGATCCTTAACTTTTTTCTACTTTAATCCCATCAATCAATTCTTATCCTGATTAAAATCTACCTACAAAGTCCTGTCAAGAGTTTCTAGTGTTTCATTATTATAGGAAAGCCAGTATACAGTACTGTAGTTAGACAGTCTTTTAGAATGCATAGTCAAGAAAAAATATTTACAAGCATTTTTTCTATTTATAAGTTTCAATAAGTATAATATCTTTAAGTTAACATGGCACAAAATGTTTATTGAACTAATGATAGTGGTCTAAATTTTGCTTTCTCTAAGAACCCCATGTTGGGTATAGGAAGACCAGTACACAACTCATGGCAACTACAGTAAATGGTAACCTGCTTACACCAATAAGTTAGCATTATAAACTTATAGAAACATCTTATGAAGTAGTTCTTATTCCAAACTCAGGTTCACAGTTCACAAATCTACAGTTTTAAAGGTCAGAAGGGATGACTGTGACCATTCAGGCAAATCTCCTATGCAACATAGGCTATAGAATTTCAGATGCAAAAAGGGCTCTTGGATTATCCAAATAAAGATTTTTACCTTTTCATTCTAGTCCCCTCTTCTTTTCCCTAGTGTTACTCCCAATTATTTAACTTGGCTGAGAGATCAGAGACAAAGAGACAGAGCTGTACTCCTCTTAAGGCACCTTCTCTGCCACCACAAAGCAGACTTAAAGTCAACGTATTAAGGCCAGCTAAGGAGCTACCCTTGTGTCAGGGAATCATCCAATGGCATAGTTACATACAGCACAGATAACTTTCCTTGCTTCTTTGCACCCCCTAGTATAGGTGAATGTGACAATAGAGCCTTTGCACATCAGAGACTTCCTACTGCCAGAACAGAACTCTTGGGACTGTTAAAACGAGTGCAACTTGGACTAGTCTGAGTCTGGTTAAATTGCTTCTTTAGACTAGGGATGTGAATGACTAGTTGACTAGTCATTTCCCCCCCTTGCTGCATCTATTGGGGGGATGCTTCAAAGCAGCAGTACTGTGTGGAGCCTGGGACCGGGCCCAGATCCAGACCCTGGGCTCTACTCAGAGCTGCCGCTTTGAAATGCCACGTGCAACCTGGGGCCAGCAGGGGATTCCCCTGCTGACCCTAATCTCCATACAGTGCTGTTGCTTTGAAACACTGCATGGAGCCTGGCATTGGGCTTCCCATGGCATTTCAAAGCAGCCGCAAACCACCTTTACTGTCTTCTTCAGATTTGGACTGCCAAATGGCCTGTCTGAAAATGTGGCCTTGTATCAATACCTTTCTATAAGTCAATCAGATAAAATCATAGTTCAACTAAGCAATACAACAAAGCCTACTGAAATACCCTATTGGCAGTAGCCATATTAGTAGCTACAGTTATTTCTTACAGTCTCTAAAATTGATAAAATCAATACTATTCCAGGCTATGTTGAGTCCCACTAAACTTTCTGTTCTTTCCTTTGCACGAGCAAACAACTCCTGTCCTTCTAGTAACAAAGTACAGACATTAAGGCCTCGTCTACATTGAGCGATATGGTCAAATGTATTAAGGTCTATTTTTAGCACTTGATTTTATAAAGTAGATGGTGCATGTCCCCACTTTGTGCAAGAGTTTGATGTAGTGTGTCCCCAGTAGGGTGGCTACCATCAACTTTGACAGCAGTGCACTGTGGGCAGCTATTTTACAGTTCTGGCCACCTCTTTGCATTCTCAGTCATGCTCCCAGTGCCCGATGGGTCTAAGACAGTGCAGCAGGTGGGTCTGGGCACATGTCATCAATGTCCCATAATGCTCTCATCACCTTCCTCCCTCATGCTTGAAAGCAACAGGAAAGAATCTGTTTTCCCTGGTTATCCTTGCAGTCAACATAGCAGGGTAAGCATGGAACCCGTTCAGCAGCAAAGTACTGTGGCAATCATATTAACCATCTTGCGTCTTATGCTGCAGTATGCCCAGAGTGTATCCAGGCTCCAGTAGAATGAGAAAGAATCTCAGGAGGCCATGAAAATATTCTTCTGCAGAGCACTTGAGATAAGCGATTGGCAGATGCCACCAATATTAGATTATCTTGATGCAGTGGAACGCTGGTTCTGGTGCCATGAGACAAACACAGACTGGTGGGACTGCATAGTTATGCAGCTATGGGATGATGAGCAGTGGCTGCAAAACTTTTGCATGGGTATGGCCACTTTCATGGAAGTTTGTGAATTGCTTTCCCCCACCCTGAAGTGCAGCATTACCAGAATGAGACCTGCTCTGACTGTGGAGAAGCAAGCGGCAATAGTCCTGTGGAAGTTTGCAACACCAGACAGCTACTGGTCAGTTGGGAATCAAATCTACAGTGGAGGCTGTTGCAATCCAAACAGCCAAGGAAATCAATACCCTTCTACTATGGAAGGTGGTGACTCTGGGAAACATACAGAACATAGTGGATGATTTTGCCACAGTGGGGTTCCCAAACTGTGGTGGGACGATAGGGATATGTGTACCATCTATCTTGGCATATGACTGCCTTACCAAGAGTACATAAACCACAACGTGTACTTTTCAATGTTGTTGTAGGAATTGGTGGATCTCAAGAGCCATTGCATAAGGCAACATCTTTAGGAACTCCTGTCTCTTCAGAAAGCTGAAAGTTGGAACTTTCTTCCCAGACCAGAAAATTAATATTGAAGGCATTGAAATGTCAACAGTGATCCTTGGAGACCCAGCTTACCATTTGCTCACACAGCCTTGTACAGGCAGCCTAGACTGCGGTCAGGAGCAGTTCAACTACAGGCTAAGCAAGTGCAGAATGGTGGTAGAAGGTGCTTTTGAACATTTAAATGGAAAATTTTCAGTTTATTGACTAGCTTAGACCTCAGCAAAAGCAATGATCCCATTGTTGTAGCAGCCTGCTGTTTGCTCCATATTATCTGTGAAAGTAAGGGGGAAAGATTTATGTCAGGGTGCGGGGCCAAGGCAGATCATCTAGCCACTAATAATAAGCAGCTAGTCAGCCAGGCAATAAGGAGAGCATATCGAAGGGCAGTACAAATCAGAGAGCCTTTGAAAAATAGCTTTGTGAATGGCCAGGCAGCAATAGGACAGTCATGCATGCTGTTCTTAGCAAGGTGCCACCTGCGTTAAGTGTGTTTACCTGTAACACAGACACGCACACACACACTCAACACAAGCAATACAGAGGGAACACAGGGAAATAGTGGATAATACAGAAGATGAGTTCAGGGAGGGACATTTGGGGGGAGAGAATAGAAAGCAGTATATTTCAGTCCCCCTGTTTAACAATCACACACATGTGAGAAGGATAGCCTTTTGCTCCATAACACATCCCTGGGGGTTGAGTGTGAGGCTGCCTTTGACACACAACCCCTCCCTGCATTCTAGGACCCCTGGGAGAGATGACTATGGAACTTGGTGAGGAGGAAATGTGGGTCTGCATGGACTGAAGGGGGTGCCTGTGCATCTGGCTGTCCTGGGAGCCCACTATGTGCATCATCACCTCTGCCATGACCACCAAGACTGTCTCCTGTCAGGTTGAGGCTTGAGCCTATGGGCAGATGGGAATGGAGGAAGCAGGGCTGGGGCTCATGTAGTGACCGTGTGACCAGAGGGTGCAACTTTCCCCTCCCACAGGAGCCAACGGGAGCGGGAAAGGGGTCTGATTGTGGCAGCAGGGCAGAGGCTTTGTTGGGGATGAGCAAGTGGAGGTGTACTGCGGTGGTATCAGTTATAATAGCTTCTCCTGCTTCATCCAGCTTGTCATGCGCAACATCAGTCTTCTCTGAATCACACAGAATAAGGAGTGGATGATGACTGAATTTGGCCATAAACCTGGAGCTTTTGCTATAATGACACCAGATTACTTATTGCTGGCTTGGCATGGTGGAAGGGTGACCTGCCATGGAGAACAGAGTAAGGCAGGCCTCCCCAGAAATCTCATGAGAAGGATGAAAGAGTTACTCTATCAGAGCTTCATGGAGATGTGCAGGGAAGATTCCTGCTACATCTCCAGACATGTTAACAAGCTGTTCTGGGAAGCCCCCACAGTGTAGGAAGAGTGGCCACCACAGATCACACTCAGTTGTCTTCACCCACTTGTAGCATGATTAAAAATGTGAACTCAGCAGAAGTGCCCTCCCCAACATCAGGGCCCGGCAGTGAGATGTCCTGGGAGGGGGGATTGTCCACAAAGTTATAAAAAGGTTCTGGCCATTGATGAGATTGCATGCTCCAATCTGCTGACCTTTCTCTTCCTCCTCCTCCGCACTGTCCTCCACACTGCTGCCCAAGCCTGCCAGAGGAGTTGTGGGAGGAATCCCTGGACTGGCTTGGGAAACTGGTCAGGTCCCATCCTAGAATACCATGCAGCTGCTCATAGAAGCAGCACGTTTGTGGCAATGATCCAGAACATCCATTTTCCTCCTTTGTCAGCTGGTATGCCTGCCTGTGCTCCTTTATTTTCACAGGGTACTGCTGGGCATCCCTGGTGTATCCTTTTTCCATAATGCTCTGTGCAATCTTGGCATAGATATCAACATTTCTTTTGCAGCATCATAGCTCTTCCTGAACAGATTCCTCTCCCCACATAGCAATCAGGTCTAGGACCTCATGCATGGTCCATTATGGTGTTTGTCTGCAACTCTGGACATTCATGGTCAGGTGTGCTGCTGAGGTGTCCTGCCTGCTATGAGATCTATTCACCATGCTAGCCACACAAGAAACAAAATTCAAATTTTCCCGGGGCTTTTGCTGTGCACCTGGAGAGCAACACTATTAAA